CCGGTGTCGATCAGTAGCTCGAGTCGACGGGCCGTCCCCGGCGAACCTTCAACCGAGGCCTCGATGACCCGTAGGTTAGTTCCACATGTGGTGCTGTTGGCGGCCGTGACCATGAAGGCCGCCTCGGTTGGAGAAGCCCTCGGTCCCCCAGCCGCTTGCTCCTTCAGGGGCTTCTCGCCTTGGCCGGTGACCTTAATGGCCCGTCGCTGACGGTACCACTCCGGCACAAGGTGAGCATTAGCTGGGTTCTTCCAACAGCTTGCATCATCATGCTTCTCAGCACCCCTCAGCTTCATCGTCGAGCAGTAATCGCAACGTGGCTTCGCAGACGCTCTTCCCGCTTCTGCACCTCTGGTAGCCGCAACAGTGTTGCCCGCGATCTCACCTTCAGTTTCAGTAGGCCGACGCCTGTTCTGGCCCCCATCGTAGTTGGGTGCCTGTGCAGGTGTCTTCTTATTCGCCACCTCCGGGTGTCCCGCCGACTGTAAGAGTCGCGCCTCGTGGTACAGGCATGCATCTCGCGCTTCCTCGAGCGTCATCTTCACCAACTGATGCCCGCAGCTGGTTTCAAGAGGCAGTTTGATGTGAGGCTGCAGGCCGTTGATGAACTTGGCGCACACGATGGTTAACGGCAACTGTGTCCCGACCACCCGTCCGAAGAGGAGCCACTCCGCTTTCACCCGGGAGTAATAGTCAGCAACCCGTTCACCGGCTCTCTGTCTCAGGCTCTCCCACCTCTGGCCCGCCTTGCTAGGTGTATCCGTGCTAGCGTAACGAGCATCGAGGTAAAGCCATACGGAGTTGGGGGAAAGGTCGCCCTCCTTGAGGCTAAGCACTACCTCCGACCTCAAGCTGGGGCCGAGGTGACGGAAAATGTACAAGACGGCGTCACGATCATGCTCAATGCGATAGAACCGAATTGCCGTCTCCAAATTTCCCTTGAAGACTGCGTAGGGCACCGCATCAGTCGGGCCCTCGAAGGAAGCATGCTCAAGGGGTAGTTTGAAGACATTGACTGGACTTATTCGGGGGGTCTCTCGGTGCTTCTCTGTGATGCGGGAAGGGGTTGCTAATGTGGTTCTCACCTGCACACTGTTCTCAGTCCCTTCAGCACTGTGCGGTGTCATGAAGGTTTCCTGAGTTTGACCAGTGGCGTCTACCTTCACAACCAGCTCCCCCTTCTGGAGAAGGGCTCCCACTAACGCCTCGCCTTGTAGTCGCTCATTACCCAGCCTGGTGCTTCGGGCCAGCCTGAATCGCCTCTTGGTTGATGCGGTGGCGAGGACCGTAGCTAGCCACAAGGTAACCGGGAGCCGCTCCCCATGGACAAGGCCGCCATGGAAGATTTCCGAGAAGATGTTGCGAGCATAGTCTACTGGGTCCTCTTCCTCGTCGTCCTCGAGCGGGGGGGACATTGTAACTATGGCCCCCGCCCAAAGTGAGACGAAGTTTCGGGCCTCAGCAGGCGGAACTGCGTCCAGTTCAAGGAGCTTGCTCAGGATGTTGTCCAGCCTATCATTGTCGATGGGGTCGTACACGAAGTCGTACGAGGAGAAGCAGGAACCGAGAGCAGGAGAGTTCAACCATTTCCTAATCTCTGCGGTGTCACTTGGCTCAAGGTCGAGTCTTCCCAGTGCTAACTCAAGAGCGTCGTTGTCTAGGGAGTTAACCATTAGGAAATGATAGTGATACTAACTATAATAGAGCTACTATCAACATCATAAACCGATAATCTGTTTAATAATCCCGCAACCGGGGGCACGTGCACAAGCGTTGAGCGCTTAACCTATGCGTGCCAGCGGAGCGATCGATGTCATGTTTGCCGAAAAAGAGATTGCCTGCATGAAGGGCCCTTCCGATGGCTTGGTGCAGTAA